GTTTTTTCTGGCAAGGTTCACAAAGGTGGATGTACAGTTCAATATCATGACGTGTAACATTTTTGTATTTGATTGAAAGTTCTTTCAACATTCTATCACGTCCTCCGTGTCCAATAGCCAAATGAGCTTCATGAAGTACGTGAAATAACTCTGAGTCCGTGACGTAATACTGTATAGTACTGACGCCTTCTTTAACAGGATAAATGAGTTTACTTTTGTTTTCTACAATCATCACATCATAGCGATTCAGCAACCAATAGTCCCTGGGTTCCTTCTTAGTAGTCATTTTAACTTTTTGTACATCATTTATTAACTTCTGGTAAGTAGTTTCGGTTAAGAAAATACTGTTTTTTGCAGCATTAACTCGAATTTTGCACAGTTCATCGTCGAATCGTTGTTTCATGTCTATAGACCATGAGACCTTTTCCAACACTACAGCTTGCTCCTCCATTTTTATGGACCACAGTAAAAAACTAATTTTTTGTTGAAGAAATTTAAGTAAAATTGCGTATTTCGACACTCCCAGACAAACCGCAAAGTGCAACTGACAAATTCTAAGCCTGAGCTGCTCGTTAAAAGTCACGTGCCTTTCCACGTGATATTTGAAACAAAACGGAGATGTATTTCATACTTTGCCGGTTTCTCATTTGGCATTCTATAGAATGCCTAGGAAATCTGTAAAATATAAATCGTTTCATAGATTGCCGGCTAGTTTTAGGCATTATATACAATGCCTAGGCATTCTATAGAATGCCGGATTTCGAACTTTGCCGGTAACATATATAAGGAATTACAATGTTAACTTTGTGGTAAATCGTAAACTATCTTGTTACTTTAGGCATGGCCTATTTCCATTTACCTGTATTGCAAATTATTATATATACTGTGCAATACTGTGGATCCGTGTGTAATGTGTTTTAAATATTGTGTTTTGTACTGCTTCAATATGTTGTCTAATGGAATTGTTAATTGAACTCTTGTAATGCAAACATATACGTAAAATACGTACCGGATTTTCTTTTCTATCAAACCAACTACATAGCTTCATAGCCTTGTGGTATGTTTTCTGTATTTTAATTGTAACCATAAATAACTTATGTTACTGTGATCCCGAAACTATTCTATGCGGTACTGGGATAAACTTTTTATTTTCATTAAATAAGAATTGAATTAAATTGAATTTAAAATTATCTGTATATGGGCAATTACTTATTATGGTAAAATAGAAATNAGATTCTGAAAAAATTTGTAAAATTTGAATTTGAAAAAGTGCATGTTTCCAAGTGTATAAAACTTGAGAAAATATACTTTGAATTGTGTGAAATTTAAAGCAAGCAGGAAAAAACATTTGACCAGATTTAAGTCTTAGAAAGATACAATTAATTTATCGAATTTTTCAAAAATTGGTTGTTATTGTGTATTTTATTATGTACTGTATTATCTTGTACTAAGCTATTATATTAATTTGTTAAATTGAACTAATTTTTGTTTTATGTTATACTTTTACCCCCTTTTAATAAGCTAAGGTTCATACAATAAACAATTTAATAATAAATATTTTACAAAAAATATTTAATATTACGAAAAATATTTATTTATATTTTCAGAATATTTTACATTCTGCAACATCTTACAAATAAAAATATTATTAAAAATATTCATTTCACTTGGTAATAGATATCATCAAATCAATTTGCTGAAGATAATTTACAAAATATTATCACATTGTGATATATCACATTGCTGGGTTATCATATCCCTGTTTTCTTCCTTTATGTATGTTTTCATACTAAATAAAAAATATAGAATTTAATATTATATTCATCACATATTTAACAACACCATTAAAAACAATTAGGAAATATTGTCATATCAGATTTATCGAATTAGTTTTGTTTTTTATTAATAACGTTATTATTTTATTATTTTACCACAGCATTGTTATTATTATCGGTATTATTATCACTATTATTATTCATAAAGTTTAAAACGAAATTAAAACCTGTGACGACATTCCCCGTTTAGCGAAAAAACGCCTCTGTAGAAAATGACTCAGCTATCGTCATTCTCGTATATAAAACTTCCAAACACTTATAAGCTAAACCCTAAATTTTCAGAAGCCCAATTTTTGGAAACTCTTGAAAAGTAGCTACTGTTACTTAGACAAGGAGCTGCTTGTGCTCATCAAAGTTCAGTTCGAATTGGAAACCCGAACATTTGGTCTTCTCCTTGTAAGCAATAGTTTAACCCCCGTATTCACCAACACCAGTTAGAGTTAGAGTTAAAAGTAAATCAATGAGCATTCACGTGCTCAAAGTAAAACAAACGGTCTTTGGTTAACTCGAGATTTACCCCTAACTTTGAGTTGGTAAATACGAAAGTAACATTTTACTTTTGCTTTCCAGACGCCAAACTGATAAGACTATCATCACCTGCATTAATTAGTAAGTAAAACTGGTGGCGATAAATAATTTGAAGTGGCGAAAAAAATTAAAAACTGGCGAAATGGTGGCGTTAATTTTAAAATTTCCAGAGCGAACCCTGAATTATTAGCATTGAAAACAAAAAATTGTAATTATAAAATTAAACCGTTTGATTTAAAAATTGGTGGCGATAAATAATTTGAAGTGACGAAAAAAAATTAAAAACTGGCGAAATGGTGGCGTTAATTTTAAAATTTCCAGAGCGAACCCTGAATAATTAGCATTGAAAACAAAAAATTGTAATTATAAAATTAAACCGTTTGATTTAAAAATTGGTGGCGATAAATAATTTGAAGTGACGAAAAAAAATTAAAAACTGGCGAAATGGTGGCGTTAATTTTAAAATTTCCAGAGCGAACCCTGAATAATTAGCATTGAAAACAAAAAATTGTAATTATAAAATTAAACCGTTTGATTTAAAAATTGGTGGCGATAAATAATTTGAAGTGACGAAAAAAAATTAAAAACTGGCGAAATGGTGGCGTTAATTTTAAAATTTCCAGAGCGAACCCTGAATAATTAGCATTGAAAACAAAAAATTGTAATTATAAAATTAAACCGTTTGATTTAAAAATTGGTGGCGATAAATAATTTGAAGTGACGAAAAAAAATTAAAAACTGGCGAAATGGTGGCGTTAATTTTAAAATTTCCAGAGCGAACCCTGAATAATTAGCATTGAAAACAAAAAATTGTAATTATAAAATTAAACCGTTTGATTTAAAAATTGGTGGCGATAAATAATTTGAAGTGACGAAAAAAAATTAAAAACTGGCGAAATGGTGGCGTTAATTTTAAAATTTCCAGAGCGAACCCTGAATAATTAGCATTGAAAACAAAAAATTGTAATTATAAAATTAAACCGTTTGATTTAAAAATTGGTGGCGATAAATAATTTGAAGTGACGAAAAAAAATTAAAAACTGGCGAAATGGTGGCGTTAATTTTAAAATTTCCAGAGCGAACCCTGAATAATTAGCATTGAAAACAAAAAATTGTAATTATAAAATTAAACCGTTTGATTTAAAAATTGGTGGCGATAAATAATTTGAAGTGACGAAAAAAAATTAAAAACTGGCGAAATGGTGGCGTTAATTTTAAAATTTCCAGAGCGAACCCTGAATAATTAGCATTGAAAANGATAATGCAATATCTCTAATTGTTTATAGTATTACGTAAATGTTTCCTTACAACAGGCCTGCTGTCACCAAATCTTCTTTCGTAATTGTCCATTTGCGTGTCAAAACCCTCAGCATTTTTAGACTTTTTTCTTAGTCTAAAAATTAATTTTAAATTAAAATGTTTACTAATTTACTAGTAATTTAAATAACTTACAGTACTTACTTTCTTTCAAGTACGAAAATAATAATGATAGCAATAAACAAAATACCACCCAAGACAGCTCCTGTGATAATCGTATTAACTTTTCCTTCTGTAAAGACAATAGTTAACTCGTTTACACAAAAAAATTATTTTCTAGTTTGGTATTTGCTAAAATTCGCTATATTAAATTATACCTACTTTTCAACGTTTTATCTTCTTCATCGCAATTTAATCCAGTAAATCCACTGTCACATCTATTAAAATTTAATAGGGATAATGTAACTATGTTCAAATATATAGTAAATTCTTATAAAATAGTAAAACTTCGAATAGCTATAAGAAAACTAATGTTGAAACTATTGTGAGCCGCCGAAGGGGGAGGTGTAGGTCTCCCGATCCGGCAACAGGTTGGTAACCTTCTCACTGTCAGGATAGATTAACGTTTTTCTCTTTGTCCGTTTTTGCGGGATTAACTGTTCGGATCGAGTGGCGGAGGGAAAAGTGCGTCGGTGAGACGACAGGCGATATACGAGCAAACGAGGAGGCAAAATTTAACAAGAAAAACAACGATTTATTAGCTACATGGATAATACAAATACAAAGGTCAAGGAAATTTTAGGAGTCCCTAAACAGCGAAGGGCCGAGAGAGGGTTCACAAAAACTTGTTCCATACCTCTTTATAGTTTCTTTATCCGGTAGGAAAACCGATTTGGATATCCATGTGAACTGAATTCTTAGGACACAATTTTAAAAGTTTTAGGATATATTTCAGGGGTGGCCAACCTGCGGCTCGCGAGCCACATGCGGCTCTTTGAAGGATTATTTGTGGCTCTCGATAAATGTACCCGAGTTCCCTTTTCATTTTTGTGTTATTATATTTTTAAAAATTATTATCGTTCCGTATGTGTTTCAAAATGTCTTTTAAATTACTAACAACAAATATGAAAGACTAAGTGCAACGTTGTAACAAATTTCATTTCCGTCCAAGTTAAGAATGATATGACTCATCGAAAACTG